AAAAACTAATGTAAATGCAAACCAGATGTCTAGAACAACCCCATGGCCTCAGTTTAAAAAACCCATTTGAAAGAACACATCATATACTTAATATCTATATTCATTATTTAAACATATATCTGAATTATAAAATATCAAACATGTTCATTCTGTTTCACCATTATCATTTCATAATACATTATAAAACATTTATCATTCATCATCCTCCCCAGCACTGAGATTATGTGCATGTGGCCATGTGTCAGGTCATAAGGTCATAAGCATAAAGAAATGCAAACACTAGTTCCATTGTTACTTCTATCTCCACAGCCATCACGTCATTGACACTCCTAAACCAGCTGCAGGGAGTTTTCATGAAAAACACATAATTATCTCTGCTCTGAATTCAACTGGCTCTCAATCCATAAACACTCCAAGGCATATATATTTTCAATTTTACAACATATCCATGCTTATTACTAATATTATTATTTTACCTTTGACCTTTCCCTACACTTGCCTTCATGATACATAAAATAACACCACAATGGAACGGTTTATTGGGTGATATTTGAAACTAAATTAATGGAATAAGCTGCAGTAATCAGAGGAATGTACAATCTAAGGCGAGACTATTGCCTAGATCATTGATTTAGCAATAGGATCAGGTAGATAAGGACTAGAAAGAAAGAAAAAAATTAGATGAAGAATGATGAGCTTTTTGGTAAGGATAGACTGCTGTAAAGCTTGGGCACTAAGTGAAGGTACTACATACGGGTAAATTAAGTGATCTTATCTATGGGAAGGCAATGGCAGCCCATAGTAAAATCATTTGGAACTCTGAGGAGGAAGAACAGTTTATGTTGTTGCTCTCTTCCCAAACAGTCTTAGCTTTTCATACATATATGAATACATACATATACATTTGGGATGTTACCCAAATGGTAGAGAGTAAAGAGGGATATGACATTGGTCGTGATTGAAAGATGATGGGGTTTTTTTGGTGGGCTATTAGAGATAACTGGGTTAATCACGAACATAGAGGTTTTTATTCTTTGTTGCTAGGCAGAATACTTAGGTGACCTAAAAAATGGACTTGTCATGTCCAACAATCAGTCTTCAGGTCAAGCCCGGGGGAGAGCCGGGGTAGAACAGAGGTTGAACTAAACATAAGTGTTTTTACAAGATAAAAGATTGTTTGATTGGATTACTAATTGATTCTGAACTGAATGAAAGTCGAATTTAGTCACCATAAAGACAAAGGAAGTGGGAGGAGCAATAAAGAAGCAAAAGACAATCTCAAAAATGAAAGGCATGGCAATTGGTTGATAAATAACCTAAGGGAATGTTTAGGAAGGTGGAAAAAATTGACACATAAGCAGAACTATGTGTCAAGAGGGGGGAAGAGGCTAATTGTAGGATTAAATAATATACGAAGGAGAGGACAAAATACTTTAAAAAAACAACAACATTTTTTTAGATACAGTCTAAAAAGAGAATGCAGTCAGAAATTGTTAGATTAATCTGAACATGTGTGAAGATAGTTTATTAACCACACCCGTATGTCAGAGGTTTTGTGCCCCACAGGTGAACTAAAGAAGGTGACCCACTATCTAACCAGGTGACTGGTGAGCATCCAGTCACTAGAAGGAAAACTGGAAGCAGGCCTGTTGGGAAGGGCCCTATCAGGTTATGTTGGTCACCACCTTGGCCATTAGAATAGCAGAGAGAGGAACCTGGGTCCATGTTACCCACTGCAAGAAGGTAAGACCACATACAAGCACCGCTTAGCACACGCAGAGTTGACGAGCAGAACTGGGCCACAGGGTCCGGGGTTCACCTCTGTCAACGAAGATCTCCTACCCAGACCTATCATCACTGTAGTGTGTTCCTAGGGTGTGAGTATGGGGTGGTACCGAGCAGAAGGACTCAAGACAGGAGAGGGTTGGCGGTTTTTGGGAATATGGGTGACCCTGAGCTGCATCATAGTCTCGGCAATAGTCGTGGTATGTCAAGATCCACCACCACCTCGCACCAATTACGCTATGGCCTTACCATTATTAAGAAATAAAAGGGAAGCGACCCGACATACTGACCGTTAAGGGCGAGTGATCTACAAAATAGGAGTCAGAGAGGGGTGGGGAGTAAGATTCAAAATTAGGATTAGGGATCTTATCAGAGCGGGTAAGCAAGCAACATGGGATTATAAGATCCCGTTGTATTTATGTTCAGCTCCCTCGGCAGATTGTTCCTGGGCTCAGGTATTTAGACATACTGGGGGACGGAGATATGAGACCGGGGGGGGCTGGACGTCCAGATGGAGGATAAGAAGGTATAACGACATCCCCACGGAGATAATAATAATAATAATGGTAGGAGATGGTAGTAACGATAGTAAAAGTCACTAAAGAGGACCTGAAAAGAACTTACTGGGCTTGCGCGGACGTATACGGACGGGATACTTGTCTAAGATTACATTTGATGGAGTCAAAAGATATAGAGGGAGCAGGTACTGTCATTAATCCACTAACAGCAATAGACCGAGTAAATCAGTCAAGGGATGACGGAGTCAATTCAACTAACCCGTCCACTATGAAAGATTTTCTCCTCCAATAATGGAATAATGGGGAAGTGGAGGGGGTCCCTGATGAGAATCTCTGGTTAATGTGGATGAAATACACCGCTAGGGCCTTGGGGGAGACCAATTGTTATGCATGCTCCATTGGGCGACCGACAATGTTGACCGCCCCAATGCCAAAGGCAATGTTTCCCTGTGTATTAGACCTGGGGTCCAATCAAAAAGAGCCAAATTGCACAGGGATTGGGCTGGCAAAATTGACATACTCGGCCAGCCCACCTAGATTCACTTTAACTTCTGGCGAATACCAGTGTTACAGACATAGAAATGGCACCCGTAACTTGGGTGATTTTGATGGCTGTAAGGAGATAATTAATGTGACTGATTTAGATAAGGAAGGGAGGGGGGGGGGGGGAAATAGGAGCCTAACCATCCCTCTGACTGGTGTGTGGTGGGCATGCACTAACAAAGGGAGCAGTCGACAGACATTAACCGAGGGATGGGTGGGTACTTGTGCACCAGTATTGTTGGTCCAACCTGTAAGAATTAGTCATCAAAGACCAGTGAAAGGAAGAATAATCAGGAGGAGGAGAAATATAGGTCAGGAAGGAAATAGCCCAATTTGGATAGATGGTATAGGCATCCCCAGGGGTGTTCCAGACGAATACAAAGCTATGAATCAAATATGGGAGAGTTTTACTACAAAAAATGTCTGGTGGGTGACAATAAACAAAAATATGGATTGGATAAATTATATCTATTACAACCAACAACGATGTATTGACCAGACTAGAGATGCAGTAAAGGGGATCTCTGAGAGATTATCCGCCATCCCGCTCATAACTTAGTAGAGGTTGGTTCTAGATCAGGCAGAAAGGGCCGGTGTCTATAGAAAGATAAGCCATTGTTGCACATTTATCCCTAACAACACCACACTGGATGGGACAGTCACCAGAGCTCTTACAGAATTAACTGCACTAAGTGAAGGATGAACTGAACTCAGAAGTTAGTACATTGTGGATAGGGTGGTTTGATGATATATTTGGTAAATGGAAAACATTTACATTCACGTCATTTAGCAGACGCTCTTATCCAGAGCGACTTACAAATTGGGAAACCCTAGCAGCCACCATCTTAGGAGCGATCAGTGTTTGTATGGGTATTCTTGTATTATGTGGTTGTTGTCTTGTTCCCTGTGTCCGAGGATTGGTGAGTCAGGCGTTGGTGAAATGCAGTATCTAAACAATGATGAGAGATGGACTGACTCCGGACTCTGACCAGGGGAATGTGAAAAACGATCCTCCAGGCTTGGTGGATGACGAGGATTTGGACCCTGAAAGACCGCAATTGGATGAAATGTTTATTAGTTCTGATGTAATCTCTGAGATTAATCATGCTTGTAAAATACATTTATCCTGAATGTGGGAATATTTAGTCAAAGGGGTGGATTGTTAGATTAGTCATTATTCTTAAAATCCAAATTAAAGGATTTCACCCCAAACACAGTATAAATGTTAGAATGATCATGTAGTGTCAACCCACTAACAGAGGGGAAGGCGGAAACTGTTTAGAAAAGTCACCTAAAGGTGGGAGGAGTCAAGTCCAGGAGGTATAAAATCGTCTGTTTGTGTCATTGGCGGGAGAGCTTGTCGTATCGAGTGAGTGGTGGCAATTATTGCTGATGAACAAAAGGAGTCTGCTCATACTGAACGTTGATCATAAGGTTTATTCAGATCACAAGCTTTAGCATGAGTGACAGACTCGCGAGGTCTGGAGAGCAGTGCCCTCCAATTCTAATGGCTGCTCTGCCCTATCTTCTTCGTGTACCCCTATTTATAAACAATGCAACAAGATGGGCTCCCTCTTCTGGCCAATCACCAGTTTACAACACACTTCCTGTCTATTATATGTGACATTATACTAAACATTGCCTTTTGATACTAACATAACCAACATTCAATTTCTTCATGAAAAACATTTAACAAAGACAATCTTAATACACTACAAGCTCTCCATGAATAAATATACAGAAAATCCTTGTTGGTTGTGGACCTTGAATCATTTATGATTAAAACCAGAGCCTTACAACCTCTGGTAATGATTCAAGCTTAGGGTGAATTAGAGATTGCAATTCACATGACAGAAACCCACTGTCTATTATTTAATTTGATCAGGGCAGGGCAGCACATACAAACTGCATTTAGTCCAATAAAAATACATGCTATTATTAGGGTGATAAATAAAAGGCAGTTGCTCCATGACACGAGTACTCTCTAGTGATACAAAAAGCTTACAGCACCTGGTATTCCCAGGCGGTCTCCCATCCTGTCATTCGCCTGTTCATTGGAAATCAGTCTATTCACACATACACACACACACACAGACACACACACACATCATGTATTAATCTGTTGGACATCACATTGTCCTTGTCTCTGTACAGATGGTGGTGATCTTCCAGAGTTTGGAGATGATTCCGCCGCGTACGGTCAGTGATCTCTCTCACGTCAGCACGGTGGGATCCACTGTAGTTAAGAAGACTCTCTCCAGCAATATGAAACTCATACAGACATCCCTACACTCAGAAAACCACAGGTACGTTGGAACAGGAAGCACGTTTTGTTTGAACAAAATCCAGATCGTTTGAGTGTGTGTGTGTGTGTGTGTCTCAATCTAACATAGTGTTGTTGTCTCCTCTGGGCCAGGTTTGTCCATCAGTGCCTGAGTTTCCTGTCAGCCATGGTGTCCCAGGGAGCAGACAGAGCCAGAGAAGTCTTCACTTCACTAAAGGCCTGTCTGATCTGGCTAAGAGGAAGGATAAGATGGTGATAGACCTGGCCAATGTCTGTGTGCATCCCAAATAGCACCCTATTCCCTATATATAGTGCACTACTTTCAACCAGGGTCCATAGGCAGAGGGAGAGACTCATCTCTCCAGACCCAGTCCCGCTCTAACTCCTGAACAGGGGGAGGAAGGAGAGGTAGAGAGACGAGAGGAGGAGAAGTGCACCCCTCACCTCAGGACTATCTTCACACACTGGAAGTCTGTCTCCTCATCTCCCTGTCTCTCCCCTGCTCTCACTTGGGGCCAAAGCCAGGCCACTGGTACTTTTCAGCTGGCATTTACATAACAATGACTAACTGTGAACTTTAACACCTTCTCACAAAGGAACTGTTTTGATGATGCAGAGTTGTTGATTCTGCTCTTCACAAGTCCTCATTGTCAGCCCTAGATATGGAAACACTATGTCCCTAGTATAACATAAGGGTGTATCCACTAGGATAACATAAGGGTGTATCCACTAGGATAACATAAGGGTGTATCCACTAGGATAACATAAGGGTGTATCCACTAGTATAACATAAGGGTGTATCCACTAGTATAACATAAGGGTGTATCCACTAGGATAACATAAGGGTGTATCCACTAGGATAACATAAGGGTCTCTGCTGCACTCCACCAATCAGAGCTTGACAGGATCTGCAGAGAAGAATGGGAGAAACTCCCCAAAATACAGGTGTGCCAAGCGTGTAGCGTCATACCCAAGAATACTCGAGGCTGTAATCTCTGCCAAAGGTGCTTCAAGAAAGTACTGAGTATTGGGTCTGAATATCTACAGTGAGGGAAAAAAGTATTTGATCCCCTGCTGATTTTGTACGTTTGCCCACTGACAAAGACATGATCAGTCTATCATTTTAATGGTAGGTTTATTTGAACAGTGAGAGACAGAATAACAACAACAAAATCCAGAAAAACGCATGTGAAAAATGTTAAAAATTGATTTGCATTTTAATGAGGGAAATAAGGATTTGACCCCTCTGCAAAACATGACTTAGTACTTGGTGGCAAAACCCTTGTTGGCAATCACAGAGGTCAGACGTTTCTTGTAGTTGGCCACCAGATTTGCACACATCTCAGGAGGGATTTTGTCCCACTCCTCTTTGCAGATCTTCTCCAAGTCATTAAGGTTTCGAGGCTGACGTTTGGCAACTCGAACCTTCAGCTCCCTCCACAGATTTTCTACGGGATTAAGGTCTGGAGACTGGCTAGGCCACTCCAGGACCTTAATGTGCTTCTTCTTGAGCCACTCCTTTGTTGCCTTGGCCATGTGTTTTGGGTCATTGTCATGCTGGAATACCCATCCACGACCCATTTTCAATGCCCTGGCTGAGGGAAGGAGGTTCTCACCCAAGATTTGACGGTACATGGCCCCGTCCATCGTCCCTTTGATGCGGTGAAGTTGTCCTGTCCCCTTAGCAGAAAAACAGCCCCAAAGCATAATGTTTCCACCTCCATGTTTGACGGTGGGGATGGTGTTCTTGGGGTCATAGGCAGCATTCCTCCTCCTCCAAACACGGCGAGTTGAGTTGATGCCAAAGAGCACTTTCACCCAGTTCACCTCTGAATCATTCAGATGTTCATTGGCAAACTTCAGACGGGCATGTATATGTGCTTTCTTGAACAGGGGGACCTTGCGGTCGCTGCAGGATTTCAGTCCTTCACGGCGTAGTGTGCTCCTAATCTCAGCTCGTTACCTGTATAAAATACACCTGGGAGCCAGAAATCTTTCTGATTGAGAGGAGGTCAAATACTTATTTCCCTCATTAAAATGCAAATCAATTTATAACATTTTTGACATGCGTTTTTCTTGATTTTTTTGTTGTTATTCTGTCTCTCACTGTTAAAATAAACCTACCATTAAAATTATAGAGTGATCATTTCTTTGTCAGTGGGCAAACGTACAAAATCAGCAGGGGATCAAATACTTTTTTCCCTCACTGTATGTAAATGTGATATTTCAGTTTTTTTTATTTGTAATACATTTGCAAAAATGTCTAAACCTGTTTTTGCTTTGTCATTATGGGGTATTGTGTGTAGATTGATGTGGGTGGGGGGTGGGGAACAATTTAATCCATTGTAGAATAAGGCTGTAACGTAACAAAATGTGGAAAAAGTCAAGGGGTCTGAATACTTTCCGACTGCACTGTATGTGGGTTCAGTCTGTCTTTTTACATGCACGAAGAAGAGGAGAAGTTGACTGACTGCACCGAGTGGAGTTAGTTACTGTGTTTAAACTTCAGTAACATGTCGTAGCGTTAGAATGATGACTCAGGAGTGTGCTTTATTGCAACGTCAGTGAACCCTCCTCCTAATAACTCTGTGAACCTTATCACAGGTTCCAAAGTCTAAACGTGCTGTATTCCAACTTCATTTGGTTCTTTGCAGCATAGCTATTCATATCCACTGTAGATACTAATATATATACAAAACTATCATTATTATGGAGGGGCTCACCGATAACCTGATCAAGTACAAGGACTATGTTTTTGCGAAGGATTTGTTCATCGCTGAGTACATTGACTCCCTGCAGACCTTTGAGATCCGGGACAGTGACATCTTTCTGGTCACTTACCCTAAGTCAGGTGAGTGACAAATCTACTGGATGGATAAACAGCGTTTGAGATGGTCCAGACACTTCATACTTGGGGGTACTTGACATGAAAAAGGTTGAGATCCCTGCTCTGTTTAGGTCATCAGTGAGGAGAGAAACCTGCTCTGTTTAGGTCATCAGTGAGGAGAGAAACCTGCTCTGTTTAGGTCATCAGTGAGGAGAGAAACCTGTCACAGGTAGAGAGAATAAAAACAGCCTTTTAGAAAGTTAAAGGCACAATCCGGGATTGGAACATCCATCTTTGGAATTTTAAATGAGTGATATCTATTGTTCTTGAAAAATATAAATTAAATCCTCCCGAGTGGCGCAGCGGTCTAAGGCCCTGCAGCGCTTGAGGTGTCACTACAGGGCTCGATCCCGGGCTGTGTCGCAGCCAGCCGCGATCGGGAGACCCATGAGGCGACGCACAATTGGCCCAGCGTCGTCCGGGTTAAGGGAGGGTTTGGCCGGCCGGGACGTCCTTGTCCCATCGCGCTCTAGCGCCTCCTGTGGCGGGCCGGGCGCATGCACGGTTGTACGGTGTTTTCTCCGACACACTGGTGCGGCTGGCTTCCGGGTTAAGCAGTGTGTCAAGAAGCAGTGCGGGTTGGCAGGGTCGTGTTTCGAAGGACGCATGGCTCTCGACCTTCGCCTCTCCCGAGTCCGTACGGACAAGACTGTAACTACCAATTGGGGAATATAACTTATACATTTCTCATGAGACATAGTTCAACTGTCTTAATGCTTGTTTTACTCCAGCCCCTTCAGCTCTGGCAGGGGGACTGCTTCGTTGTTTTTTTCGAATCCCCTTTAACCATGTCGCTCCCAAGAGCTCTATGACTGACACCTTTCATGATGCTGACCTGTAGGAACGATCTGGGCACAGCAGATCATCACCTCTATCTGTGAGTCAGAGATGGGTGATGTCTATCCCAACAACTTAGAGATGATGCCATGGCTGGAGTATATGGAAAAACGCCCTGACTATTCCTTACGCCCCAACCCGCGGCTATTCACCTCCCACCTCACCCCCGTACTCATGCCCCCAGGCCTGAGGAACAAGAAGGCAAAGGTAGGCAGAGGAGGGGAAGATGGAGGCCCCACTGTATGGTTTGCATCCCAAATGTCACCCTTTTCTCTATACAGTGCACTATTTTTGACCAGAGCCCACAGGGCTGTAAATGTCTCTCTTGTTCTCAGATGATCTATGTGATGCGGAACCCAAAGGACAACGTGATTTCCTACTATCACTGGTGTATTAACTGGGCCTTGTTTGAGACCCCAAAGAGCTTCGAGGACTTTCTGGACCAGTGGTTAGCAGGGAATGGTAGAGTAAAGACATCATTCATATAACACCATGGTTGGGTCCCAAATGGCACCATATTCCTTCTCTACATAGTGCACTAATTTTCACCAGGGCCGATAGGGCTCTGGTCAAAAGTAGTGACCTATATAGGGAATAGGGTGCCATTTGGGACACAAACAGCCTGTTATAACCCTGACAGGCTACGTCCTAAACGTCACCCTATTCACTATATAGTATAGTGCACTACTTTTGACCAACCCATGAATACTGTAATGACCTTGGTGACGCAGCCTGTTATGACCATGTTATTCCCTACAGTTGGCGCTTCGTCCTGGTTTGACCACATCAGAGAGTGGCACAGTAAGAGAGACCAGTACAACATCCTGTTTCTGACCTATGAGGACATGATCATGGTAAGATATTACAGACTCATCTTACACCTATGACCTCTGACCTCTGCTCTACTGGGTAGCTAGCTAGAGACAACCAACCAGCCTGGCTTGCCTATCCCCAATCTTTTGGCCTAAATTTTCCAATTTTATTAACAAGGATGGACATGAAATGAAGAGGGAGACAGACAGAGGACATAGTGTGTAGAAGTGCTGTGGGGCCGGCGTGTGATCCCACACAGGCAGGGGATTGCATATGTGCCGAGGGCAGTGGACTTCACCACTTGACCAACCTCAGGCACAGGGGTTCCATCTTTAATGGACATGTTCCTCCTTTCTCAGGATCTGAAGACAGTCGTGCTGAAGATCTGCCGCTTCCTTGAGCGGGACCTGACTGAAGCAGACATCAACAAGATAGTGGAAAAAGCCACGTTCAAAAACATGAAACACGACCGCAAGGCCAACTACGAGTTCATACCAGAGGACATTCTCAAAAAGGGGCAGTTCCTACGCAAAGGTCAGGGCCTGTATTCACACAGCGTCTCTATACCAGTGTTGATCTAGGATCAGTTGTGCCTTTTTAGATCATAATAAATGAGATCACATGGACATGGGGGACCTGATCCTAGATCAGTACTCCTGCTCTGAGATGCTTCGTGAATATGGGCCTGAGATTGGGAAAAAAAACTGTTTGTAAATAAACTGCATATAAACCATTTATAAATATTCTTACTCTGAATAATGACGTGTTGGTTGTGCTGTGACAGGTAAAATCGGGGAGTGGAAGAACATGTTCACAGTGGCCCAGAGTGAGAGGTTTGACCAGGTCTATGAGGAGCGGATGAAGGACGTGACTCTGAAGTTCATCTGGGACATGGATCAACAATCAGAGTAATGGAAAGGTGGAGCCTGCAGCTCTGCCGCCACAAACTACCCAGTGGACATTAAAGCCATGGACATTTGTGTCAATTATCTGTTGAATGTACCAAAACTTGATATCCATTACAGACAAAGGTCTCTTCTTCTTCTTCTTCTTCTTCTATGAGGGTTATGTCACGATGAGCGTGGATGTGGTGTGGAATCAAGCGCAGGACAAACAGATACTTATTTCAACCGTCTTTAGTTCAGACACGAAAAAACAAGCCACACGGCTAAACACAAACCGGCAGGCAAGCGAACTTTACGCACACCGGGTACTAGGCAAAGCAAAATGCGCACACGGTGCGGACACTCTCTCTAAAACAAAATACGAGAGATAAATGAGCTAGCATCCCAAGCTGACAAAGAACAATTACACACAACACATGACCAAACCCAAGAGAACTTATAGGACACATAATTAACACTAACAATGAACAGGTGTACAAAACAGACCAAACCAAACAAACATCGAAACATAGAACGGTGGCAGCTAGTACTCCGGAGACGACGACCGCCGAAGCCTGCCCGAACAAGGAGGAGGAGCAGCCTCGGCCGAAACCGTGACAGGTTAACTGCGGTTGGCATCCAATTTGTTGCATTACTGCCACCTACTACATTGGAGTATAGCTCCCTAATCTTTTTCTTGAAAAATAAAATTCAAAATTATTACTAATAATTAACCCCACCCTTCTCCACTATTTTAATATATTCACTCCTACCTCATGCCCTCAACCTGAAATGATGGGACATCACCACTTAACACTCCCTGTAACTCTTCTGATGTCAAGTCTGGCACACCCAAGTCTCTGCAGCTGCCACCACAACCTCATTTTTCTTTGACTTGCGTTCCATCCCTGCAGTACAATGAATAACCATTGCTATGAATGCTAAAAATCCAATCTTACTGAAACATATATCACTTTCTTGCCTATCCCTCTGTACTGGTACATATCTCCTACTCTCACCACTCCCCTCCCCCCTTGACCCCTCTTCCTCTACTTTTCTTCACTGCCTCCGCATATTAAAGGTCTCTTCCTGGTGCACGCTTGCATTTAAAAGGTAACTACACCCCAAAATCTAAATGTCTTCCATTTTCCCAGACCTCAAAAATGCTCTCCTGATAGGGTTTAAACATTGTTGTGGACATAGAACATCCAATTGTGCTGTTTTGCTATTAAAAAGGTGTACTTTTGAGAGCGAAAACCTGCAAAAACAGGGACAAACGGTCAAATCTTAAAGGAGAAAAGGGAACTTGGGGAAAAAACGGAATCAGGCAAACCATCGAAGGGATTTTTTAGTGCCCTAATGTACTATAATAATAATATGCCATTTAGCAGACGCTTTTATCCAAAGCGACTTACAGTCATGTGTGCATACATTTTTACTTATGGGTGGTCCCGGGGATCGAACCCACTACCCTGGCGTTACAAGCGCCATGCTCTACCAATTGAGCTACAGAGGTCCACTACTACAGACATTGACAGTCTCCTAGACTGCTCCTAGAGGTCATATCCTATGTTGACTTATGACAAGTTCATGGACTAGGGCCTTATAAAATAGGCGTTGCGGACAGAATCACGGAATCCAGACATTAAACCGAAATTCAACAATATTCCAAAATGTATTGAACTCAGTAGGAAATCAACTAAATCTATTCAACTTGTTAGAAAACGTATTCATTTGCCTAAGTAAATCATAAGACATGAACAAAATGTATCAGTGATTCGTATTTCCATGCAACTTAATGAACCGACTAAAAACAAATGCTGAATGTACTGCCTATATTTTGAGGGAAACACTATTATTTCATTTGATCAGGACAGGGCAGGGCAGCACATACAAACTGCATTTAGTCCAATAAAAATACATGATATTATAAGGGTGATAAATAAAAGGCAGTTGCTCCATGACACAAGAGTACGCTCTAGTGGAACAAAAAGCTTACAGCACCTGGTATTCCCAGACGGTCTCCCATCCACGTACTAACCAGGCCCGACCCTTCTTAGTGTACGTGACACATTTACTTTATATAGTGTACCAAGAGTTGTTCCCTTGCTTACCGCCATACCAGCCTGAATACGCCCCTTTCGGTAATTGAGGAAATGGTTACAGGCACGTTGGTATTGGAGGAGGAGGAGAGGGAATTGTTTGCTGCGTTTTGAAATCAATCTTTTGTTTGGTGAATTATTTGGAATCAAATTTGTCTCTTTGATTAATTAGTAGAGTTATTTCTCCCCTAGCAGCTTTTGCTGTTGGGGGAAAGACAGAAAGGAAAAAGAAAGAACGATATATTTATTTAATTGGACGGATTACAATGGCTACAATGACCAACGCGAGGGAACAGACAAAGAGTACTGGACATGGAGAAAATGTTCCTGGTGCATCATCGAGGGAAAAGTCCTATGACAAGTCTTGTACGGTGGCGGTGGAAATCACTGGGGGAAAAAAACTAACGATGATGGAATTGCTGAGAGGGATAAAGGAGGCCTTTGGAACGGTGACAGGGTGCAGATTTAAATGTGATCAGAAGTACGAGATAACGATGTCGCATGTCCATGGGAAGGAGAGGTTAATGGATGGTCTGAAAATCAAATCGTGCACGGTAATGGCGAGGGACATTTCAGCGGATGAGCTGGTGGTGTCCTTCATGAATTTACCAGTGTATATTAGTGACGATGCTGTCGTGGCAAAATTGGAAGGATGCGGTGGTGACGGCGGTTTCGGTGATTAAGAGGAGGTTATGGCCAGGAACAGAGATCGCTGATGGTACAAGATTCTGTAAAGTCCGGTTTACAGGCGTGGTGCGCTCACTACCATATTCTACCAAAGGTCGAGACGTTGGAGGGGACTGAGTACTTTCGGGGGATACACGACAGACAAGTTAAAGTGTGGTCGAATTTGTATTCAGTCTGGACACGTAGTACGGGACTGTCCTGATTTTCCATGTCGGCGATGTGGGGTACAGGGCACTATCGAGAGAGAGGGGGGCGTGAAGAGGGGCCCGGAAGGGGGGGTCGAGGGGGAGAGCGCGAGAGAGAGCGTCGAGGGGAGAGGCGTCGAGAGAGGGAGAGCAAATGGATTGGGGAAGAGGGGAAGGGGGCTTTTGGGGGAAAAGATGGTGAAGACAAAAAAAAAAAAAAAAAAAAACCAAAAAGAAAAAAAAAAAAAATTTTAAAAAAAAAAAAAAAAAAAAAAAAAAAAAAAAAAAAAAAAAAAAAAAAAAAAAAAAAAAAAAAAAGGGAATAAAAAAAACCCAAAAATTTGGGGGAAAAAAAAAAGGAAAAGAAAAAAAGGGGAAAAAAAAAAAAAAAAAAAAAAAAAAAAATAAAACAAAAAAAAAAAAAAAAAAAAAAATAAAAAAACAAAACCAAACAAACCCCCAAAAAAAAAAAAAAAAAAAAAAAAAAAAAAAAAAAAAAAAGGGAAAAGAAAACAAAACAAAAAAAGTGAAAACAAAAAACAAAAAAAAAAAAGAAAAAACCCCCCAAAAAAAAAAAAAAAAAAAAACAACAAGAAAAACCCCCAAAAACAAAAATTTTCAAAGTTTTGGAGGGGAAGAAAGGAAAAAGGTTTTTTTTGGGGGGGAGTTTTAAAGGGGGCGCGCAAGTTTGTTAGGGGGGAAATGGTGAATTACCGATTGGAGTTTGAGGGGTGAAACATGTCTTGGGAGGGGGTCTAGGGTTTAAGGGGGGGAGGGGTTGAAGGTAGTTTAAAAGGAAATATATTTAATTACCCTGGTTGGGTTAATGTTGGGCCCGGGGGGGATCGGGGTTTTGTCTGTTTAATTTTAAAGTTGGGGCAGGGCCGGGGGGCCAATCAAAGGAAGGAAAAAAAATTGCGGTTTTTTGATTTGGGGGCAAACTTTTGTAAAGTGTTTCCCAATTTTTTGTGGGACTTGCGTGTTTGGGTTTTGTTGTTTTCCAAAGGAAAATTCATTTCGTTTTTGGTTTTGTTTTATTATAAATAAGTTTTTTGGGGGAAAAAGGGGGGGTCTTTTATTGGGGGGGAAAAATTCCCCCCCCCTTAAAGGCAAGCCGGGGGGGGAGCCCGGGGGTGGGAAAAATTGGGAACCCTGGCCAAAACACGGGGGGGGTTTGCCCTTGGGGGGAAACTTTAGGGCCCCAAGGGAAGTGTCAACATGTGGTTTGAGGGGGGAACCCCAAAAAAATAAAATTTTTTGGGGGGGGGAAAGGGCAAATTTGGGGGGAGGGGCACAGGGGGGAGGAAACAGGGATTTTATGGGAGTGAAAAGGAGAGGAAGGCCCCGGGGAAGGGGGGCAGGGGGAGGGAAAAAAAAAAGCCCAAAAAGTTGGGGGGTAAGGGGGAGGATTTTTAATGCTGAAAGGGAGGGAGAGGGTGAGGGGGGCCGAAGGGGGACGCAGGCCCGGCCTGTTTTGGGGAAAAAAAAGGGGGTTTGGAAAACCCCCTTCCCGCTCCCACCAGCCGGGGGGGCGGGGTTTCCCCGCCCGGCCCCCGGCCTGCCCCCGCACAAAAAAGTGTCCTTGTCCCCCAGCCCGGGGGCCCCCCCGGGGGCCCCGACAAGGGGGGTGGGGGGGGGTTCCAGCCGGCCTTTGTTTAAAAAATTTGCCCTCGGGGCCACCCCCCAAAAGGGGGGGGCCCCCCAACGGCCCGCCCCCGGGGGCCAAGGGCCACGGGGGGGGTTCCCGTCCCCCCACCAAGCTCGGTGGCACCCCCCCCTTTCTTTTTTCCCCGCACCGCCGGGGGGTCGCCCCCCCCCCTGTTCTGGACCAAGCCAAGGGGTTGGGTGCCAGCCCCCGGCTGTTCCTGGGGTCCCCGCCCCCAAGGCCTGTGGTGCGGGGCCATACACGCCGGGCCCCTGGGTGGGCCCCGGGCGGTGGTAGTTTTCCCCCAAGGGGCTGCAATCCCCCCCGGGGGGTTCCTAAGCCTCCACCACGGGGCCCCGAGGACCGGGGGTTTCGGGGGGATTTTGGAAGGTGGGGCGCCACCCGGGGA